CCAACCATGCTGTCCAGGAAGGGGATCATCCCGGAGGAGTACGTGTTGACCCGGCTGGCCGAGGATGTCCCCGATCACGCGCGGTACCGCGCCCGGGAGCGCAGGGCCAGGTTCGTGGGCAAAAACGGCGCGTGCAATGTGGCGCACAAGAACATCCGGGAGCAGGGCCGCTTCCTGCAGGACGTCTTCACCACCCTGGTGGACCTGAAGTGGCCCCACACGCTGATCATCTTCACCATGACCTTCCTGTGCAGCTGGCTGCTCTTCGCCATGATCTGGTGGCTCATCGCCTTCGCCCACGGGGACCTGGACCACAGCACCCAGCAGCTGCACCTGCAAGCCGCGGATGGGAGGCTGGCGACGGCGGCCCCCTTTGTGCCGTGCGTAACCGACATCCATTCCTTCACCTCAGCCTTCCTCTTCTCCATCGAGGTGCAGGTGACCATCGGCTTCGGGGGACGCATGGTGACCGAAGAATGCCCTGTCGCCATCCTCATCCTCATCGTGCAGAACATCGTGGGGCTGGTGATCAACGCCATCATGCTGGGCTGCATTTTCATGAAGACCTCGCAAGCGCACCGCCGCGCCGAGACGCTGATCTTCAGTAAGCACGCCGTGATCGCGCTGCGCGGGGGGAAGCTCTGCTTCATGCTGCGCGTGGGCGACCTGCGCAAGAGCATGATCATCAGCGCCACCATCCGCATGCAGGTGGTGAAGAAGACCACCAGCCTGGAGGGCGAAGTGGTGCCCCTCAACCAGATCGACATCCAGATGGAGAACCCGGTGGGGGGCAATAGCATCTTTCTGGTCTCCCCGCTCATCATTTACCACGTGATAGACAAGAATAGCCCCCTGTACGATGTAGCTCCAACCAGCCTCAGTCACCATGAGGACCTGGAGGTGATTGTCATCCTAGAAGGGGTGGTGGAAACCACCGGCATCACCACCCAAGCCAGGACCTCTTACCTGGCCGATGAAATTCTTTGGGGCCAAAGGTTTGTGCCTATTGTGACCGAGGAGGATGGACAATATTCCGTAGACTATTCCAAGTTTGGCAACACTGTGAGGGTGCCCACTCCACCCTGCACAGCCAGGCAGCTGGAGGAAGACCGGAGTATCATGGACACCATTTCCTTGTCACCCAGAGGCACCATCAGGAAAAGATCTGTTAGGTTAAAGCCCAAATTTACCATAGCTGGGGAGACTTCATGACAACTCTGCCCACTTGGCTGTTGTAGTAGGCACAGCAGACTCGGAGGCAGCCTCTGTTTCGGTGTTCAGGTTGGTTCCACCGGTATACAGTGTGCAATATTTGTGGTGCAAAAGAAAATGTGTGACTCAGGGTATCTAAGGAAAACTGAGCACGCATAAAGCTTCCTTCAATTTTCCTATGTGTATTTGCACTTGAGATGGGTAAACCTCCCGAAGAGATAGATGCCCCCCCTTTTTTTTTGAGAACTTATTTTCTATGTATTGGATTGTATTATTTCAGGTGCACCATGGAAAGGGCACTAATAATCAGGTATTCATATTTATGAAAAGACAGTGTAGACACAAGAGTGCCTATTTATGTGGCAATGCTTTATGTACTGAATGAATAAATGTATTAATGTAATTCATAAATGATACTGTATGCTTTCTTTTATCGCCAGTGAATTAGAAGATCTATTGGCCGATGATATTCATGGATCATATAATGAAATGAATGCCACTTGTGTTTACATGTTATGTTAGGGCATATGGAAAAAGATTTTTAAAAATTGGACAGTTAGGAGGGAAACCAGTCCCAATTGTGGACTGCAGAGGAAAAAATGGATTCCTGAATATTACAATCCTATTCAGATCTACTCAAAAGTAAGTTTCATTGAGTTCAGAAGGGCTTATTTCTAAATTAGTGAATATAGGATTTTAACTTCAGTGGGTTTATAGTGTCACAGTCATCCTTCTGCTGCTACCTCAATTTTTTATTGTAAAACTAAACACTGTATGTTACTTGTATGAGTAATATTGAATTGGTAGATCGATTAATGTTGGCCACCTTTATGTAATTTAACTGCAGGATTAGATCCTTCTGTTCAAATGTTATAATTAAAATTAGTCATTCCAGCCTTCTGAAAAAGAATAACATTTGAAAAAACATAGACATTTTTAAGGAAATAATACTGTGTAACCAGCTAGTTTGATCTTCCTAACTGTCCTGACTTTCAGCTCCAACAATAATCATGGAGTAGAAGCAGTGGGGCTGACAATTTACCGGTGACATTGTAATCCTAGCTGTGATGTGAATTCCCATCTCTATCACATGGCATCATTTAATAAGTTTGCATTCATTTTATTTATTTTAATTGACAGTTTTTTAAAAAGCCTGCAATGTCCAACTGTTGCAGTGTTGGAACTGGATGAGGGAAACGAAGATTCAAATTCTACTCAACCATGAAACTCACTGGTGACACTGGGCCAGTCACTCTTGCTGTAGTCATACTTACTTCACACAGTTCTATCTATGCTGCCTTGTCTTTCTTGGAGCAAAAACATGCTAGAAATAAAATAAATGTATGTTATATTAATTGGTGCAGAATGAGGACATATTTGTGAGAGGGGAGGCAATTAACCCATTTACCAATAATAGACATTCTACTGAATTGCCCTGTGGGACTTACCACATTTTCAATAATGGAAGTGATTTGACAGAATAGATCAGGAACTTAACTGATTGAATAGATGTACAGAAACTAGAGAAATTAAATTCTATAATTTATTGCAAGTATACAATTAAGGATTAGGCATACCTTATTTACCAAACAGCATACTATATGTATTGAATTCCGAAGATAAAGTCTTAATGTATTTAACATTAGCCCATATATATTTCACTATAATTGCATGCTTTACTTTTTACTTGTAAGACAACATTTTTATGTCATCTGCCCAATAAATCAGGAATGTCTGTGGTATGGAATAAAGTGGCATAACCATGTTAATTTTATAGACTAATAATCCAAAAATGAAAAGGTTCATTTATTTAAAAAAAATACTAAAGTGCCTGCTATTAAGATCATGTTGTTTAGCATAATGAAGGACCATTTTCATATGTCATCCTTACAATTTCTGCATTTGTGGTTCTAGGAGTGTAAGCACTCTTAATTTCCCAGATGATCCTGTTAGTCTTTACAGTATGCCTCTATTTAACTATTGTTAAATAGTTAATTTCATACGCAACTTTGCATTTGTTACGGTTAAGGAATTTGAGAACTTAAATCAAAAGGCAATAGATCTGCTTTTATTTCTGAATTTCAATCTATAGCAATGCTCACATACTAATTCTATTTCTCTATGAATAGAGTTACTCGGAGCTATTTACATTTTTGTTTAATGCAATGCATTTTATAAAAGGCAGATAATTAAACTCATCTTCCCTTTCCATATCTCAGATCACATAATATAATCTGGCAAACTCCCTTATTCAACCAGCTGATTAGCCGTTGCTTAGTTTGAACAATTTACTAACCCACGTTGAAAGTATATATTTTGCCCCTTGTTGAAGGATATAATTAGCTACAGGATTTAATTGTGATATAAAAAAGAAAGAAAACAAGCACAAGTTGCAAGTCAAAACGTTCTTGCAAGTTTACTTTGAAAAACGGATCTGCCTCCTTCAGGAATCTTTTTCTCCTTCGCTCCCTGGGTCAGGAGGATGAAGTTTCAAGCTTTAACCATGGATGGTCCTGAGAAATGATATCCAAGGAAGGATTTTAAAAGCAAAAAGAAGACAAAAGTAACTTCAGGAGCTGTTCAGATACTGTATTCCCTGATCCATGGCAGTTGTCCAGTTCCAAAAGCTCAGGGAACCTTTAGAACAGCTTCTGATGAAATGTGAAGAGCAGCAATCCAGAAATGAAACTGAACAGAACAACTATATGTGGGAAAACATTTCAGTGTTGGGGCTGCAGGTGTTCTCTATTGCTTTCTGATGTTTCCACCCAGAAAAGTATACCAAAGTCATCCCCACCCCATGCAGATCTGTGATTCTCCCTGGTCAGGACCAGAGATTTTTTGCAGAAGGGCAGTGGAGGACCTTGAACTTCATTCAGGATCAGCCTCCTAGACTTTTCTAGCATCTAACAGCTGGAACAGGGTAAAATTAGGCTATGGATTAGACAGAGATTAAAATGAAACGTCTCCTTACTCATCCTTATTGCCTGGGGTGTTTCCGAAGTCTGATTCCAAACTTGCCTGGGTTTCAAAGTACTGCTCCACCCTGCTCCCCTCCCCTGAGCAATAACAAAGAAATAACTGGAACTATCACCCAAACTCTGCTAAACTGCTGTTGCTGCATCAAATGGTATCTTCAAATAGCGACAGCAGGTGGCTTCTTTTCCTTCACCCCTCATTAGCTGTCATCCAAGCCATAGGGCCTGTCACGTTCAACATCTGTTGCATGCTTTCATGTGGCAAACTTATTATGCAAAATTTCTACCATGGAACTGCTTAAGGGGATCTTCTACACTTAAGATTGTGATTGCATTTGTTCACTTAACATATATTTCCCTTCCCATCATTCAGATCATGGTTTGATCACTTACAGATTTAGGATGCATATCCATATTTCCATATAAGATGACACCTTTTCCCCTATCTGCTCTTCCACTCTTAATCTTCTGCTTTTAATCAAAACAAGAAGAAAACCTAATCTATCCCAACCAGGGAATAGGACATGATTGTTCAGATTCTGCTTGAGCTCCAAACCTCTCTCTGAGGTTCCACTATCAATCTTCATCACCATGAAAAGGTTTCTCCTAATCTTCAACTTCTACTATAACAAAAGCCCATTCCATCTAGTCACCCTCTGGGCAGTAGAGGATACGTATTTGCCCCTTTCTGTGTTGACAGTCCTATGGGTAATGAAGGAATGCTATCACTTACTCTACTGAAACTGATTTGGTTGAAATGGGATCAGAATTAGTTTAAATGCAAAGGTGCATTGTACTGTTATCAGTGGGACTTCTTCATAAGTATGTCTACTCTACTAGCAATCCTAACAAACATTTAGATTCCCCCAAAGTCAGAGCTGTCCAAGAAACAGAGCAGAGCAGAAATAAGGATTGAGAAATGTTTGTATCAGTTCATCCTTGTGGTTGTCCTTAACGTAGTTTTTTAAAATATAGTTTTGGGTTTTTATTGTTTATGTTTTTATGCTGATTTTATAGTGTATACTGCTGGGAGTCATTTTCTGAGTCCGGTGGTATGAAGACATAAATAAATAAATATTAGCCATGTTGCACAGAATGTATATGAAGTATGTGTATGTGAGAGAGAATGAGGACCCTTATGATCAGCCTGATCAGTCCACTTCAGGATTAAAGCCTCTTCACTGAAGTTTATGATTGTAATCTACCAGGCTGGTTCAACATAGGTTGGTAGATAGATTTCTTTTCTATTACTGAAACTAGGGTTGAGAGAAAATATCTGGCTCAAAGTTACCCAGCCAGCTTCTGTGCCTCAGGATGGACTAGAATCTGGGTCTTCTTGCTCCTAGTTCAGCACCTTAAGCACTACCCACACTGACTCTCATATATATGTATGTGTATGTATGTATGCGGATAGACAGACAGATATGTATGTGTGTATATATGTATGTTTGGATAGACAGACAGACAGACAGATAGGGACATAAAAACTTGACTAAAATTCAAGTAAATTTAAATGGGTTCCATTAACATAAGGGCCCAAGTCCCAAATGCGTTCCTTCAGGGTATTGGTTAGAAAACAAAAATGACAACAAAAAAGGAAATATGAACTATTTGTTGAATTTTGGATTAATTGAAATTGTATTCAGCCATGTTTCAAAGTTTCTAAAGGACATGAAATCTTCATACAAATGATATTTTGGAGTATGCCAGTATTCCTATGCAAAATGATAATTGTATTACATGGATAGGATCTGGTAATTAATTAAAATGGTGTGGTAATTAATTAAAAATGGTGCTCTACTGAAGTTAAGTCTGAGGCTCCTCAGAAAGCAGTAAATATTACTATTGCTAGAAAAATCTTCTTAAAAAAGCTAACCATTGGCCTTAGAACAATGGTTTGTGATGCTAAACAGTCCATACCATGTCACTAAGAATTTAGAATGAATTCTTCTAGAAATAGGATTCTCATTTTTTCCCTTTGATGCATCCATAGGCTATCTTGAAAACTTCTTCCACTGCATCAATATTTTTCATTGGCTGGATTTCTGCCAATATTAACTGCAAAATAATTTAGCTAGAAGGAGCTTCTAGTGGAAACAAAGCAGCAGAGGGCTGAGAAGGGCAACCCTGCTCTTCCAAAATGGGGGAAAAGGAGGCTCAGATCATTAGAGACCAGTCAGTGACATGAATACCTGGCAAAACTCTGGAACAGACTGTTAAGCAGTCAGTTTGCCATCATTTAGAAAAGAATGCATTGCTTGGCAGAAGCCAGCATGTTTTTATCAGGAATAAATCATCCAGACCAATCTGATCTCCCTTTTTGATAGAACAATGCTTTAGTTAAGCACTGGAATGCAGTGGATACAGACTTCAGCAACACATTCAGTAAAGTGAGATTCTAGTAGAGAAGATGGCAAAATGTGGGCTTCATTAGATGGTTATGGAGCTGACTGAACCATCTTGTGAGGGTACATCGGTGGTTCTATGTCCAGCTGGAGGGCAATAGCCAATACCGTGCTACAGGGCTCTATTCTACACTCTATGCTGTTCAACATATTTATAAATGGATGAGGGATTAGAGAATGGAATTATTAAATAGGCAGATGATGCAAAAGCAGGTAGGATGGTAAACATCTCAGAGGATAGTATCACAATTCAGGAGGACCTTGACAAGCTGTAACAGTGGACAAGAACCAGCAAGATGCAAAAAGAATCTGAGTATCTTGGTGGATCATGAGTTGCACAGAAGCCAGCAGTATAATGCAGCTGCAACAAAACAAAACACACACACACACACACACACACATTTAAACCTACACTATTTCAACAGAATTATAATGTCAAAATCAACCAAAGTCATCATTCGTATCTATGCTGTGTTGGTCAGACAGCACCTAAAATATTGCATCCAGTTCTGGGCATCTCATTTCAGGAAAGGCAGAGACTACCTGAACTGTGTCAAGAGAAGAATAACCAAGATCTTAAGAGACCTGGAACGAAAAACAAGGAATGATTAGAGGCATTGGGGATATTAGCCTGAAGAGGAGATAACAGGGAGACATGTCTGAAGGGCTGTCATGTACAAGAATTTTTCAGACTTGCTTAGAAGACAGGACAGGAAACATTGGGTTTAAATGAGAAGGTAGTAGTAGAGAGCCAGTTTGATGTAATGGTTAAGGCATTGGGGTAGAAACCAGGAGACTGTGAGTTCTAGTCCCACTGTGGGCACAAAGCCAGCTGGGTGACCTTGGGCCAGTCACTCTCTCTTAGCCCTAGGAAGGAGGCAATGGC